TCTACTGGGCTACCCCACCACGCCATCGGCGTGACAAGGCCATGTGTTATCTACTGGGCTACACCACCATACCATCGGCGTGACAAGGCCATGTGTTATCTACTGGGCTACACCACCATACCATGGGCGTGACAAGGCCATGTGTTATCTACTGGGCTACACCACCAGACCATCTGCGTACAAGGCCATGTGTTATCTACTGGGCTACACCACCAGACCATGGGCGTGACAAGGCCATGTGTTATCTACTGGGCTACACCACCATACCATCGGCGTGACAAGGCCATGTGTTATCTACTGGGCTATACCACCAGACCATCTGCGTACAAGGCCATGTGTTATCTACTGGGCTACACCACCAGACCATGGGCGTGACAAGGCCATGTGTTATCTACTGGGCTACACCACCATACCATCGGCGTGACAAGGCCATGTGTTATCTACTGGGCTACACCACCATACCATCGGCGTGACAAGGCCATGTGTTATCTACTGGGCTACCCCACCAGGCCATCGGCGTGACAAGGCCATGTGTTACCTATTGGGCTACCCCACCAGGCCATCGGCGTGACAAGGCCATGTGTTACCTGCTGGGCTACCCCAACAGGCCATCGACACAACAAGGTCATATGTTATCTACTGGGCTTCACCACCAGGCCATCGGCATGATGGGTCATGTGTTATCTCCTGGGCTACCCCACCAGGCCATCGGCATGATAAGGCCATGTGTTATCTACTCTGCTATCCCACCAGGCCATCGGCATGACACGGAAATGTGTTATCTACTCGGCTACCCCACCATGCCATCGGCGTGACAAGGCCATGTGTTACCTACTGGGCTACCCCACCAGGCCATCGGCATGATAAGGCCATGTGTTATCTACTCTGCTATCCCACCGACCATCGGCATGACAAGGCCATGTGTTTTCTGGGCTACACCACCCAGGCTATCGGCATGACAAGGCCATGTGTTATCTCTTGTTACTTACCCCAACAGGCCATCGGCATGACGAGACCATGTGTAATCTACTAGGCTACCCCACCAGGCCATCGGCATGACACGGCCGTGTGTTATCTACTAGGCTACCCCACCAGGCCATCGGCATGACACGGCCGTGTGTTATCTACTGGGCTTCCCCATCAGGCCATCGGCATGACACGGCCATGTGTTATCTCTTGTTACTTACCCCACCAGGCCATCGGCATGACGAGACCATGTGTTATCTACTGGGCTCACCCACCGGGACATTGGCATGACATGGCCATGAGATCATACTTGGCTACACCACCCGGGCTATCGGCATGACGAGACCATGTGTTATCTATTGGCATGGGCACCCCCACCGGAACATTGGCATGACATGGCCATGAGATCATACTTGGCTACACCACCCGGGCTATCGGCATGACGAGACCATGTGTTATCTATTGGGCACCCCCACCGGAACATTGGCATGACATGGCCATGAGATCATACTTGGCTACACAACCCGGGCTATCGGCATGACGAGACCATGTGTTATCTATTGGGCTACACCACCCGGGACATCGGCATGACGAGGCCATGTGTTATCTACTGGGCTACACCACCCGGGACATCGGCATGACGAGGCCATGTGTTATCTATTGGGCTACACCACCCGGGACATCGGCATGACGAGACCATGTGTTATCTATTGGGCTACACCACCCGGGACATCGGCATGACAAGGTCATGTGTTATCTACTGGGCTACACCACCCGGGACATCGGCATGACGAGGCCATGTGTTATCTACTGGGCTGTACCACCCGGGACATCGGCATGACAAGGTCATGTGTTATCTACTGGGCTACACCACCCGGGACATCGGCATGACGAGGCCATGTGTTATCTACTGGGCTGTACCACCCGGGACATCGGCATGACAAAGCCATGTGTTATCTACTTGGCTACACCAACCAGAATATTTGCATGACAAGAAATGTGTTATATACCCTGCCCACTGCCCCAATACCCATCCCCAAATGTCAGCTGACAGAACATGAAAAACAAACATTGGTGTGTGAAAATAGTTTTATTCAGTCAAAAAAGCATATTTGTGTGTTTCGAGAAATCGGGGCCTGTTATCTAAAATGAAATCTAGATATATATTTTAAAGTCTTCTCCGTTATTATGTTGTGAATTAACCTGCCCTATACCGTAAAAAAAAAGATACGCTTTAAAGGACAAGTAAAGAGACAAAATGTTTGCAATTTTGTTTCGAATATCAAATGTACTAGATACATTTAGTCTACTTCCGAGACAGACAAATTCACAGTTTTCGAGCAAAATATTTAAATGGACAAGTGAAAGTGCTGATACCACACGCACAGTAATCGGCTTCTAAATTCAAACCTATTTGGGGGCGTGGTCTTAAGCTACCCGCGCAGCGATGACATCTGTTTTCATTGTCTGATATATCTGCAGCGTTTATTAATCTTGTTATTCTTTGCCGTCATAGACATACTGTTTCTGCTATTTCTGTTAATCCTACAAAAATACAACATTGGATACACAGTTGAATGTGCGAAACAACTTTTGCTCTTGATATTCAGAATATTTAAAATAACAAATAACAATCGGAAACCAGCGATTGATTACCAACATCTTGTTAGGGTCATAAAACACCAGCTGCCCTCGGCCCCATTTACACAATATATGCCCGTCAGGGATTAATCCCCTGAGTAAACAACCGAAGGCATCTTCAGTGTTGTTACTAAGGTGACATAAGTTGTGGATACGGTAATCAAATGAATGAGAAGACAGAAAAAAGACATTGTGTATTAAAAAATCCAAGACAGAAGCACACAGTCAGGGCTCTCGGTCCGATCGCCATGATGCTTGAAAAGCGCAGCGCGTCAAACACCGGAAACCTGTTTAACACAAGTAAGGGGAATCCCCTTAGTGGCGGAATTTTTCGTTTGGGGGACGAATTCACATGTCGTTTTTTATCGTCTGTTTCACGCTATTTCCGATTTTCAAATGAAAGTTTGGTTAAGCATTTTTGAATATGTATGCCCTAAAATATTAAAATCTGCAAAGTCGCTATGTTGACTTTACTTTAAAACAGGAAGGTAAAATACAGAAATTAGAATTCCATGAAATTGTATCAGTTGTTATTATGTTATCATTATGAATATAACTATAGCTTGTTGGGCCACAACGATCTATTGTCTGATCAAACTATTCACTATGTTATCATTAGGTGTGGTTCTGAGAGCGAGGAAAAATCACGATATGTGATAAGTGCGTCATAATCATATCTGTAATGCAGGATGCATAACAAGAAGTGTTAACATTTGGCGCAAGTGAAGTAATAAGCTGCAGCTGCATATCCAATTTGACAAAGTTATACACACTCGTTTCATAATTAAACATATACAATTCGAATAAACAATTTACACCACATCCAGCGGAAACCTAATATAAACACATAAGTTCATTTGAATTGCAAAACATGAGCAAAGTCTTATTATCTCAAAACATCATTCACTGTCATGTGGAAAATAATATAGGAGATTGAAGGAAAAGCAACATAAAGTAACGAGTTTCCCCCGAGCATTAACTCGCTAATAGCGTAAATTGCTGACACGTTGCTGATGCAACGTCAAGTTATTTGTAATTTAAACACTGTCGTTGATGGAAAGTGAATGAAATGACAAAAACAGCAAATGGTCGATGTTAGTGATGTTGTAAATTGCCGACATGTTGCTGATGCAACGTCAAGTTATTTGTATTTTAAACACTGTCGTTGAAAGTGAAGGAAATTACAAAAAACAAATGGTCGGTGTTAGTAACAGTGTACATTTCTGAGATGTTGCTGATGCAACGTCAAGTTATCTTTTACTTAAACACAGTCGTTGAAAGTGCAGGAAATGAACAAAACAAATGGTCGGTGATAGTAATAAATCAAAATATTAAAAAAACAAGATATGAACAGGAACATATATGTTCATAATTACTGAAAACCGATATTTACACTGACGAACGGAGTACGATCTGTGAGTACAAAACATTCAGCACCTATTTTCTCAAATAAATGTATATGTTATGCGTTTTCGTGTTCTATATTTACAAACTATACGAAATTCAGGGATTGTATTTTTCCCTGAGAAATTAGTTCACCTGTACGTGTAATTAAAGGGTAAGTATAACATAGAAGACAGCATAGAGATTATCACAAGAAGGACACATCCACCACAAAAGATAATAATGTAACAAAAGGTAGAAACAATACAACTGCGACGCGGAGACATAAACTCTAGCAACACACAGCAAATAGGCATCAGTATGATTATGTACACAACAACATAACGAACCAATCACTTCATATTGGACTGAACTCCGCAGTTTTATAGTGCTCGGCGTTCCTATAACAAGCCTTCTAAAACAGTGGGAAGTGAGTTCTTTGGAACTAGTTGTAATAAAACACTGTAATAAGCACCTTAGTTTGATGCGATTAGACATTTTCTCGCCGCGAATAGCTGCAAGATTGCTGATGAGGCGTTAAGCAAAACTTACTCACTCACTTAGTTTGATGCATACAAAAATGCACACACACAAAAATATTTGTTGAAATCCTCCTGAAGCTACATACGTTTGGGAGTAACATGATATTAAACATACGTTTTAGCTTAACTCCAGTTCTCAAGGTGTTTAGGTGTAAACTAATCAATTACTTTGTAAACGCTACTTGGAGAAATACTGAAATACTGTGTCGATTCACAGTAGGGTACGTAAAATACGGTCAGGTATTTTCTTGCAAGAAGTGTCTGTGAGGACAGAAATATCCCACTCTCATTATTGTGTTGAACTACAGTAAAGTACGGTTATAACTAACTCAAAGGGACTACTAATTTTAGTTCGTTATAACCGTAGTTCGTTATAAGCATATATACAGCATAACTACAGCAACTAGTCGGGACCAAAAAGTAAGTTCGTTATATCCGTAAGTTCGTTATAAGCGTGTTCGTTATAACCGTAGTTTACTGTATGTTTAAATAATGCTGTAATTCAAGTCCAAAATTATCATCGCAAAAGACTCTGGCAGCTTCACGTCGTGCTTGTCTGCTTAACTCACTGGTCTGATTCATGCAGGTGGCTCTGGAAGTAGCAATTACAAACGGTACAATAATATATTATCAGCACATCGCGTATGAATGCCCACACGACATATATTGGTTTTCTATAGCAATCCATGCAGCACCAATTGTGTTGTGACATTTGCAATTACATAATTTTGTTTTTGACATATGATCACGCCATTGCTGTAATATATATAGTAGCGGATGCATCGTCCATCGGCATTCATGTCGTAAGGTGGTAAAAGCTTGGAAATGACATACGCTACAAAATACATAAGGTATATATAAAGCATTGGTTATAATACGTAACAATATTACATTGTCTCTTTAGAGCTATTATCTCGACAAAACATACTAAGAGGAAGACACACACACACACACATATATATATATATATATATATATATATATATATATATATATATATATATATATAAAACATAAGGAAGAGAAATGTGAATGTCAACTTCCTTATAATTAGGAACACAACGTTGTGTTCTTTATGATAAAGAAGTTGACATCCACAAATTCTCTTCCTTATGTGGGTCACAAAGACTTGAAATAAAACAAAACACATAATAAAATGTACATGGAAAGTTAAAACATATTTACAGTGAAATATAATTAAAAGAAGAAATACAAAACAAACCACGGGGGGTAATCATTTATCATATTTACATTGAGAGTACTTGCATATGATGCCTGAACAGTTCCAATGAAGCCTGCAAATATCTCGATATGATTCAGCAGACTCCTAAGCAAACACATTCAGCCCGAGCTCAGAGGCTGTAACCCGGAGAATTTCCGCTGTATGTTCTGTCTGAGGGAATAGGTCGGCTGCTTTAAACACATTACGCGTGTCAGATTGTATTGCCAATTCTGTAAACATCCCGTACAATGTCCTTCAGACGGTGAATATGAATTCAGTTAGTGTCAGCTTTCGGGGCTTGGGAGAGGACTAATGCAATCATTATGAATACAATCTACGGATTCGTTCCTGATTTTTTTGGTCTTGTTTGTTTAGAGTGCAGTATAACGTATTATGGTGTTTTTGAGTTGTGTCATTCCACATGGTATCATTGCTCCGAGTGGAGTACACCGTGATATGGTGCTTTCAGAGACGTGTCGTGCCACGTGGTATGATGTTTGCTTAGAGTGCAGTTGACCGTGGTAAGGTGCTTTTTTTTTACGTGCCGTGCCACGTGGTATGATGTTTGCTCAGAATGCAGTACACCGTGATATGGTGCTTTCAGAGACATGTCGTGCCACGTGGTATGATGTTTTCCCAGACTGCAGTGCACCGTGATATGGTGCTTTCAGAGACGTGTCGTGCCACGTGGTATGATGTTTGCTTAGAGTGCAGTTGACCGTGGTAAGGTGCTTTTTTTAACGTGCCGTGCCACGTGGTATGATGTTTGCTCAGAGTGCAGTACACCGTGATATGTTGTTTTTAGAGACGTGTCGTGCTACGTGGTATGATGTTTGTTTAGAGTGCAGTTGACCGTGGCATGGTGTTTTTAGAGACGTGTTGTGCCACGTGTTATGATGTTTGCTTAAAGGTCAGCATACCGTGGTATGGTGCTTTTAGCGACGTGTCGTGCCACATGGTATGATGTTTGCTTAGAGTGCAGTTGACCGTGGTATGGTGTTTAAAGAGACGTGTCGTGCCACATGGTATGCTGTTTGCTTGGAGTGCAGTACACCGTGGTATGTTGTGTTTTAGAGACGTGTCGTGCCACGTGGTATGATGTTTCCTCAGAGTGCAGCACACCGTGGTATGGTGTTTAAAGAGACGTGTTGTGCCACATGGTATGATGTTTGCTTAGAGTGCAGTTGACCGTGGTATGGTGTTTAAAGAGACGTGTTGTGCCACGTCTTCTGATGTTTGCTTAAAGGTCAGTATACCGTGGTATGGTGCTTTTAGCGACGTGTCGTGCCACATGGTATGCTGTTTGCTTGGAGTGCAGTATAACGTGTTATGGTGTTTTCTAGCGACGTGCCGTGCCATATGGAATGGTGTTTCCTTAGAGTGCAGTATACCGTGGTATGGTGTTTGTTTGGGGTGCCGTGTCACGTGGTATTGAGTTTGCTCAGGGTGCTTTGTCACGTGGCATGTTTTTTTCCTGGGATGCCGTGTCACGTGGTATGGTGTTTGTTTGGGGTGCCATGTCACGTTGCATGTGTTTTTCTTGGGATGCCGTGCCACGATGTATGGTGTTTGCCTTGGGTGCTGTGTCACATGGTATTTGTGAGACGACGACTTTAATGACGTTCTTCCTCAAGGGGCCAGGTGACCTCCCCATCACAGTTGCATAGAGCCCGCTGTCAGTCTCTTCTACATCTACAGGCCGGGGGTCAGTAGGCTGATTTTGTGAGTCCGGATCAGTCGTATTTACCTGTTTTCTGTAGATAAGGAAAACGACGACGACGACAACGACCATGATGAGAACCAGGGTAGAGGAAACTGCAACAATTATTGTGGTCTGTTCTGGTCCAATATCGACATTGTTTGGGGCACCTGCATCATTACCTGAAACAAAACTTATCACGATACATATTCATTGAGAATGTTACTAATAACGTGGTATACACGTGATAAATACACAGCCGTCATTGTGACGCAAAAGATGTGACGTCACAGTCGTATATAGAAAAGCGCCAAATGCCAAACTCTCTGTTGTCACCAAAACTTAAAATACACTCTCTTTGTAGATTTCTATTGTGTTTTCTTCACGAAATGTATTGCCACACATCCTTTGAATTTTGTAGTAACGGTAACTTTACAATTTGTAACCTATAATTGTAGGTATAGTTATTTAAATACGCCTAACGACAATGATTGAACAAAATTCTATTCTATGAATATTAGCTTCCGTGGTGGTGCGGCTGTCAAACCAGCTGTTTTAATCAGAGGGGGTTTATTGTGATTTTAATAGCCTCTGATTGACCAGTCAGAATCGAGTAATTTCCAAATTCATGGTAGAATCGTCAATAACATGCTCTACTTTTTATAGATATATGTGAGTGAGTGAGTATGGTTTTACGCCGCTTTTAGCAATATTCCAGCAATATCACGGCGGGGGACACCAGAAATTGGCTTCACACATTGTACCCATGTCGGGAATCGAACCCGGGTCTTCGTCGTGACGAGCTAACGCTTTAACCACTAGGCTACCCGACCGCCCATAGATATATGTAATAATATTACAAGATAATACTTTGTAATACTAAGATTAAGTACTATGAATATTTGAAGCACATTTCTATTTCCCCTCCGCTATGGAATTGCTGGAAAATTGCTACAATCTTACCCGATCGCCAGCACACATTACCACCAAACATTACCGCTGTTCATTAGACTAACATATTTCCTGGTCGACACAGATAAACAATTTCAGTTGATTAGATGTCCACTATTCAATACAATCGTTTCAAATTCAAAAGAAATCTGCATGTACTAAAAGAGAAGGGAAATCACACACGTATCAATGCACATCAAATTTGCGATCAGTTCGTTAGTTTTTCCTGCTTGATGATAATTTTGAGGAAATTGTATGCGAGTCCTGCATAGGTCATTAATCAGCATGAAGGCAATCAATAACAATTGAGAGTTTGAACCAGGCAGGGGTAATTCAGGTATTGCTTTATAATCATTGTGATTGCTGCAATGCACTCAGTTAAATAATAACGGTATTCTAATTCGTGGTGATACAGTTAGTATTCAGATACATATTAACTTAAAGCATTTATTATTTTTTAATCGATCTACTAGGGGATCATGAAATATAAATGCTATGATCTGTCGTCCCTCAGCAATATTCCAGCTATATGACGGCGGTCTGTAAAAAATCGAGTCTGGACCAGACAATCCAGTGATGGACATCATTAGCATCGATCCACGCAATTGGGATACGAAGCATGCATCAACCAAGTCAGTGAGCCTGACCGACCGATCCCGTTAGTCGCCTCTTACAACAAGCATAGTTGCCCTTTACAGCAAGTATGGGTTGCTTAAGACCTTATTCTACCCCGGATCGTCACGGGTCGTTTAGATTTGAAAATTGAACGAAGGGTTTCTGAACCAAAAGTAAACACTCCAAAACATCCGCAGCATTGCACCGTGACAATCCACGTCGTACTCGTTGAAGGGTGTGGGTGTCGTGTAATTCTTAGTTTTGACACTTCAGTGAAAAGTTGTCAAATCACTCTGAGCCATTAGTATTGTTGATCGTCATTTTACACAGTAACCTGCAAGTTCTCAACTTCTGCTTCGATGCAGTATTAATTGGATCAGATTGGAATGCATAATTTACAACATGGTGAACACCCTGGTAGGACTCAGGAGCTGTTAGTCAATATGCTCCATGAGTCTCAAACTGTCATTTGCAGACTTTGGAACAGGTTTCTGCAGATACGAAATGTTAAAGATCAACCAGCCCCAACAGCTGAAACCAGCCCCAACAGCTGTTCACTTGCACCAGACCACCAGAGTTTAAGTTACTGACCAAACGATTAGAAATTGTCTGTATGCAGCTAATCGGCATGCTCTGCGACCACGTGCCGTACATTCAACAAATCGACACATTCTAGCCATATGCCGATGGTGTTTAGATCTAGAAACTTGGGGAATCGCTGATGGTATCCTGTAATGTTTTCTGCACTGGGGACACGTTTTCTCAGAAGCTACTAAAGTTAAGTGAATGAATGCTTGCACGCTTATCTATGAGATACTTGACATGTGAAAATGTGAAAATAAGTGCCATAAATTATGTTTTTTCCATCCCTTGCTACAACTCTTTTAGATTGATTTGAAGACACAGTTAAAGCCCTTGTTCCATATTATTTTTTTCATTTCGTGCATATGGTCTGCAATGGGGAAAGTAAAATCAGATTTTGTCAAGACATGAAGCACCCAGTGCCCGCCTCTGCTTATGAAAACATACAGGAATCTATAGTGTAGTTAACAAACTTCCCTCAACCAGGATCGGCAGGCTAGCACTTTGAGCCTCAGACTGACATTGCGTATTATTCTGTCTTTGTCGTTTATGCACCTCTGTTCGTGGGTTATCGAACAGCATAATCCACATGCAATCAGTGTCGCATTTAAAGGAAATACAGTTTTCAAAGGAAATTTAATCGAAGCAGGTGTGTGTTGTGGAGGTTACGCTAAATCACTCACTTTTAATAAGTTTGGTAACACCACCACAGGTCAGATTCCACTGTTGGGTGTGACAACTGAATATCAGTCTCACAGCTCCCAAATGAGATTCTGTCACATCCAGGCTTGTTGTGGCACCATGTACAACATTGGACAGAAGCTCAGCGACTGTCCCAGTCTGTAGTGAGAAGTTGTAGGCTGCTGAGCAATGGTACCCTTGTATATCGACTGCGAGGGACAGCTTTTCATGTAACACGATGTCATCAGTCCTGTGATTGCTTGTTATATTGCACGTTGGAATCTCTGAAACAGACACTAGTTCCTTGCAGATACTTGTTTTTGTGTTTCATGAAAGTAGAAAAATCGAATCACGTGCACCGTTTCTTAGAGCAAGAAGTTCAAGTCACACACGGTCACATATTCAATTATTTGTCACGAACATGTTAACAAAATATCATCTCTCTACAAAGACATCTTGAAGTGAATGTTGAAATAACGGTTCTGATGGTTATTTTTCCTATTTTGTAATGAAGACGTTTGACAATGGGGGCGACCAATTCAGGTTTTCTTAGAGAGGATGTGTGTATGTGTATGTGTGCATTTGTTTTGTGCTTGCATATATTTTCTTAATACGTTCCTGAAAATATAGTTCTCCACCTTACGTTTAAAAACGCACACAACTTATGAAATTATTCAGTAGGCATGCTTATATGTCATACGTCATCTCCTCTTTTCATAGAAAAATACTGTTTAATGCTGACTGAAAAAATATTTTGTGTGATAAAGAATCACAGCACCTGTAAGTCAATACCAATGATCCCCACCCTCATCCTTTGTTAATTACATGGTCGGTCACTAACAGTAATGTAGCTGTAGTGTTGTGGTAACAGAACGCATTACCATTACTGAATTAATAGTTTTCCTTATAGATAAAGTAGACACAATACCAGACCTAGCGGCGGTCCAGTTGTGATGCATTGAGTATGATTTACATTGTTTCGTTTTCATACATTGTTTGTATTTGTGATGATGTGTGGCTGGTTGTTTTGTTACGAGTGGGATGAACGGCAGGGGTTCCCGCTAATACCACAAATAACCATTACACGAATCACACAACCATCTCTGAAGTTAAAAGCTAGATTTAATAATTAAAACAAAGATAAGTATACAACAATTCTCAGTTACTAGGCAAGGCACTTATATACACTGTTATCTGTTTAGCCAAAGCAAAATTGCAAATGTACAATATAGATAATAGCCATTTCAGATTTCTTGTCATCGTATTTTCCCAACGTATTCAATCTCACATCGTTTCAAACTAATATATCACAGTTCAGATGATAACTGGATAACAACAGTTTCCTCCTTCGAAGCGTCGACAGGACCTTCTAACTTTGTCTACGGACATAACGCCTGGCTGAACTGCCCTCGTTCAGTTATACCATATTTCTCCCTCTCCAATTCTTGTTCCTTCCCCTTTTCTTTTTGATAACTTGGCCCCATATAGTTATCAAATTTCCAAGTAAGCTACTTGAGCACACAGAAGTATGATCGGCCCACACCAATCAATTAACAAGCCAACTCAAACTCCAATCACCCCACAAGCACGCTTCTCCCCATCAGACAGCTTGCTTAACTCAATCAAGCATGGCGCCGTCCACCGAAACTGGACCCCTTGTGAACCTCACAATATACAACGTCACTCATAACAGTTGCAAGTACGAACACGAACACAGTTCACAAGGAAAATGAAATCTATTTTAGAATGCCCGAGCATTAATGGAAGACAACTGACAGACTTCATTTCCTTTATCAAGAACATGCACTAACAAATTGGTTTGACTCACAGAAAATATTTAATTGGCTAACTGTTATATCTTGATACTAAAATAGGTATGTCTGCTATTCTGTCTGTTTTGCTTTAATTCAGTAGCCCTAAACGTATGTAACTAGGAAGCCAATTGTAACAGTACTTGGGATCAAGGAAAGGATTAGACAGACATTTCGCAATGCTTAAAGTATCGTCGTTGATAAGTAACGTTTTCACGCAAAACATGAGACATTTATTTGATTCTTTCAAGTTTGTTTATTTTTCTGTTGCAGTTTAAGAATCAATTCAAATGATCAAATCTTACACCACTCTCTCGGGAATATGCCTCTCACCATATTCATAACGTAGTATCTGTATACATTGAGGGACAATGCCCCAAATAGCATTTTACATATAGTTGCCATCAAGTGTGCAATCGTATCTACGTTTCCATCGACATTCGTCAGAAACATTTGAAATATATCTGAAGTGGAAAATAACCTTTTTCGCAACATTCCATACCCATGTTTCATTAAATATACATTGAACGTGAACATGTGGCGAATGAAATAATACAAACGAAATATATTGTCTAGACGTATCTCATTATGTTGGGGACTTTTTAATACATGGTAGAACTATGGACTGATAATTAAGCACTGTGAGTATTCAAATTAACTCTATTTTGACTCACTTGTGACCACCAGGGTACAAGATGACATGTCACCCCCATCAGTACAGCTCCACGTCCCTGCATTTGCTGGTTGTACACTGAGTATCCTGAGTTTAGTGTGAGTCGAGTTAATGATGCTTGCATTGTATCCCGTATCATCAAAACACTGCGGAGGTTTTGCTTCACAACTTGGGGAAAGAGTTCCCTCCGGTGTTTCGTACCGGAGAAACTTGAATGGTGAGTTTGTAAAGCAGGTGATGCTGGCAGATTCATTAAGGTAGGATATGTCAGGGCAGATCAGCTGAGGTATACCTGTAACGAAAGTAACTGAACTAAAGCCTACAATGTGACGCTTTCAGGAATGTTACACTTATAATTCTTGTATTCAAATGTGTTATTTATTGCTTTAATTTTGGTGATATTACGTGCATTAAGTGCAGATCTACCAACTGTATTTCAATAAATAGGAACATCATAGATAGCTGCATTAAGATTTATAATGTGTTTTTTATTACGGTTAATCTCCTCGTAGAACATAGAAAAGTACGTACTGCATAAAACGTGTGTAGTGAAGAGGACTTTCACAAATAGGAAGCCTGCTGTTCTCATGATGGACTGCTTCATCTGTCAACAAATACACCAAACACGATGGCTGTGTTGCTATAGGACTGGGTAAGAGACAACTTTTAATTATAACAACATTTCAGTAAGATGAGTTCAGTTGAGGGGACATTTAGAACGTTATCATTCGTTCAAGCGGCCATGATTTTAAAGCTGTTGCTGTGGAATATTGTACTTACATTATGATCTTTGTTTACAGGTGTGTGTCGGAAGACCGCACCGTCATGTCACGTCCGAGCCTATGTGGTAAGTACAGGGAGCGCATAGACGGTTGCAGATCATAATGTCCTTCCTGGTTTCAGTGGTGTTATCTTCTGCATATCAGTCCTAACATGGCTATTGAACGTCAGTATGACAGCCGTAGTGTAAAGTCATAGTTTAAGGTGTGGCACTAGGTGAAACTTTATATACTGAACAAAAGTTCCTGTGGCATTGAATAAGATTTAATGCAAAGTTATGTTTTTTACCAAATCTGAAACAATTTCGGTTTGCAACAGATAAAAGACTCCTTTTAGTGTTCAAATGGTTTTATTGGAAATACTGACTTCAGAAATGCGTGATTTCATAACTAACATGAACATGGCAAAATGTCAATTTACAAATGAATAGCGTGTGTGTCCACCTCTGGTTGCGATGCAAGCAACACATCTTCGTCTCATGGAATGGACCAGGCGTCGCACAAAGTCCTGTGGGATATCTGTCCATATCTGCTGGAGCATGTTTCGAGGTTCCTTGAGTGTCTGTGGAACACGTGGTTGACGTCGAAGGCGCCGATCCATCTCATCCCACATGTGCTCGATTGGTGCGAGAGCAGGGAAGCGAGCCGGCCAGGGGATGACATTCACGTTGTTTTGTTGAAGAGAATCCTGAACAAATCGAGCAATATGAGGCCGGGCGTTGTCATGTTGAAAGGCAATGCCTGGGCCATGACGACGCAAAAACGGTAGAACAACAGGGCTGATGATCTCGTCGCGGCAGCGCTGTCCATTGAGATTTCCCTCTAACTCTATCAAACGGGTCCTCTGTCTTGCTGTAATCCCACCCCATACCATAACGCTGCCGCCCCTAAACCGATCTTCTTCTTTTATGACACAATGATTGACGTAACGTTCACCTCGACGTCGGTACACTCGAATCCGTCCATCGCTGTGGCTGAGGTGAAAACGAGACTCGTCAGTGAATAGAAAAGTGAATAGTGAATTGTCCCCACTGCATGGTCGTCCAGTGTAGACGCTGTCTGCACCACTGTAGACGTGCTAGACGATGGTTTCCTGTCAAAATGGGACATCTGGCGGGTCTTCTGGCGACAATCCCTGCAAATCTGAGGCGACAACGTACTGTTTGTGAAGATATTCGTCGAAGGCCAGGGATGCTTCTTGCAGTCACTGTTGCTGGCTGGAATCGATTTCGTAGGTGTGTTGTTTGAATCCAGTTGTCTTGTCGATTATTGGTTACGTGTGGCCTGCCACTCAGAGGATAGTCGCTGACTGCATTCGTCTGTTGCCAACGTTGCCATAAACACCAAACGGTGTTTCTGTGGACGTTAAATTGTCTTGCAACATCACGTTGACTCGTATGCTTCAAGCATACCAATGGCTCACATACGCTCATTTTCGACTAAACAATGCATATGGAATCCCGTTAACGCACATGTTTTTGTACCCATTCTTGGGTAGTGAAATGCATAGGGTTGCATTAAAGTCAACGTTTGCATGGAATGCATGCTTTTCTGTGACAGTTGCGTTTTTGTGACTTGATTCCATACATGTACTACACCATACATGTAGTACACTTATTTAGACAGGGATATTCACTGTACGTCTATAAGAGAGAGTCGAGCCTGCGTCCCTGAGACGAGGTATGATATTTATATTTTATAAATTGTGCATGATTAACTATATATAAAGAGTAATTTGTTTTATATAGAGGTATTTGTTCACTTATTATATGCCGGAAGGAACTACAAATCTAAATGTATTATTGGTATTATTGTTATCAAGTGCCTTTCTACTGTCATTGCCAATGATGTTTATATTAAATTATGCATGTTTTAGGTCAGATCCGGACAGCCGTGTAGTTCTCACTCCACCCCCAATGAAATAAATCCCTTATGACCCAACAAGTACTCCCTTTGTCTTCTTTGAGACGACTACGAGTACCACAGTAACATGACGACAAAGATATAATACGTTCAACGTCAAAACTGTCTCAAAGACATTGTCATGACATGATGACAATAACACACGTCAAATCCCAAATTGACGTTGACTTTTATCGACGTGTCCAACAGATGTTGACCCAGGGCCTTGGTCATCGTGTTGTCCTCGGTTACAGTTTAATACATGATCAATAACCACGTTGCTCCGTCCAGCTATATGGCGGCGGTCTGTAAAATACTTAAGTGTGGACCAGACAATCAACTTATGGACATCATGGAAATCGAGCTGAGCGATTGTGATACGATGACATGTTCATACATCATGTAGATATGTAATTCCGTTTGAGCACACATCTTCAAAAACCACGGATTTATTGGATTTTGTTTTATTTACACCACAAGCATGTGTATATACTTGGAAACCGTGTCCGGGACATAACTTCACTCCGACTGTGTGTAGACATTTGTTTAAAATGTATTCCATGCAATCAATAAACAAACATATAGACACTCACTATCGCAATTGTAGTATAGATTGTGTTTTCGGATTTTGAGACTCAATGATGACGTTCGTGTAAATGATAAACATGTTTTTTCGTCAATGGCAGAGAATAATCCATTTGATCATTTCGAGATGATAAAGTATCCGAATGGCTTAGTGAAAATTAGTGACGACACCATGTGTTCGCGAAAATGATAATATACTGAACATCAAAATAAACGCGAAATCTTCAAGTTCCTATTTAATATGGGAAAATGGTTGTGAAAGCGGTTGGCTGCTATGGTTCCATTGTAATGAGCTTTTATTGTTTCAAAATGACCCAAACCAGAGTTAAGGGCAGTGAATTCTTAATCCACAGCGCTCAATCGCACCGACGTTGAAGTCAGTGTGGGATGGATACGCACGAAATGCACGTGCTTCTAATGCCCCCAAAACTCTCCGTGAAGATGTTGTCTTTAAAAGCCACGAAAGTGTCACTGTGAATCATTCACTCATCAACGTCAGTGACAATGCCACGACTGTCATAGATCGATCGAGAGAGAGGTATTGGGCAACTTCAAACTGGTGAGAGTGTTCAGAGAGTTGCAAACACCTTTAACGTCCACGTTTCCACCATCTACCGTCTGCAGGAAATATTCCAGACAACCAACAGCACCAGAGACAGGCATCGTACCGACAGGCCACGTGTGACAACAAAACGTCAGGACCGTCACATTCACAGGTCACATCTGCAAGAAACTGCTAGGAACGTCGTAGGAAAGTTCCAACACAGTAAGACGGCGACTTTGTGACAGAGGGCTTCAGTGTAGGTGACCATCACAAGGTCCTTTTCTCACTCAACGTCGCCGTCTCCTGAGACTACAGTGGGCCCAAGCACGCTTGAATTGGCGTCATCAGCAGTGGAGAGTTCTGTTCTCTGCAACAGAACAGAAGTCGGTATTGTGTTGATCGTGCGGATGGAAGTTTTAGAGTATGGCGACGTCGCGGTGAGCGCTATCATGACCAGTGTCTCCTTGAACGGAACTCGTGCGGTGGTCCTTGTGTCATGGTTTGGGGTGGAATAGGGTTAAATCAGAGAACTGACCTTGAAATCTTTCAGAACGTTGGAGCTGGTAGGGGCAATTGTGTCACTGCTCAGCGTTACATCGATCAGGTGTTGAGGCCCCAGGTTGTACCGTTTTTTGCAAGACATGGTAACGAGACACTTGGACTCTTTTGCAGATGGCGCTCACTTAATCATGGGTAATATGTTAATCTTCTTTTGATAATCTTGACATTGCATCAGCATTTATGTTAGACTTCCCTGGCCCATACTTGATGGAACAAATGTCACTTGACAAGGCAGTCAGCCACCGGTGTCCTGTAGGTTCGAGACGAGCAGTGGATTATTGTCTGTTAATACCAAAAAGTCATGCCCATAAAGGTTATCACGGAACCTTTCAGAGATGATCCGTTTTAAGCACAAGAAAACAGGTTTGTGTGTTGAGTAGTTCTGCTCTGATAGGCAAATATTGACAGTAGCTGGTGACCTCGCTTAATTAGGTGAACACTACCAAGCGTTTCGTTTCCCGATGAACGTCATTATGATTATGTTTACGATTATGTTGACAATCGAGCGGAGACATACAGAACTACTTTAGGGAAATTCCTCAATGTCTAAAAATAACATTGAAATTCATTAGGGAAAAAAGTGAGCGACATCGGTTCAGGCTATGAATTATACAGGCTTAGAAGACAGAGATCATGTATATGTCAGGTCACCGAAATGAAGCGTCCATTCGAAGCTAGGACAGGGAATGCTCGATTTACGCCAAAAAATCACTGAGCTCCACACTGTCGGGTATTGCTTCGGTAAATCCAAGCGGTAATCCCTGTCATCATTAGCCATAGTATGGCTCAAACACACACCCAAAGTTCACAGAACGTTCATATCAATCCATTTTCAGCATCATCCGGGTCTGGATTTCTTTCCAACTCTAACTTTACTGTGTTCAACTTTTATTTCAAGTGAATTACATTGCCATAGCCGCCATTTTCTACCGTTTGTAAAACCAAGCGATGTCACTCCGCGTTGATAGAGTTCGCTTTAAATAATTAAAGTTTGATGTTTAATGGATTATTTAATGAGACAGTGCCTCACGTTAGCAAATTAACCATGAAGCGCTTCATATATTAAACATCGTTATTTTTTTAGAGTAAGTATCTAGTAAATTGTTCTACATAGATGTAACTGGGCCTCGCAGATAAACGAAGTTGCCGGACGATCGCATCCAAAACTTCAAAATTGTACGAGGCATGTCAGTAGCATGTGCATAGAAAGCCACAATTCACAGAGAATGTCAGCATAGTCACACACACACGACTATAGTCGTTATCAAGGTTTTGTCTTGGATGAGGCAGGATTGTTTATAGCTGTGTGTCAGAACTCAGCAACTCCGAGCCATTGTGACATGTATGGGGAAATACATATCTGATTACAGATCACAATGTCCTTCCTGGTTTCGGTTTTGTTATCTTCTGCATATCTGTCCTAACATTGCTTTGAAACCTCACTTATTTCATCGTCTCTAATTTTACTTGCAACAATATTTTTAATTTCATTAATACCATTCGAAAGAGTACGTAGATCCATGCAACTGCAGAACTGGTAGTGGGGATAGTTAGCATGTGGTAAATCAAAACACTGAACGTACGTCCTGTGCACGGTCATTAATTTGGTCCTTATTTAATCCTTATAATCACAAGGAATCTCTAACGAGTCCATTGTGTTATTCCGACTATATCAGTTTCACGTGTTTATGAATCACTATTGAATAGTAATGATACCATGTATTGCCCGACAGTTGGCACCATTCACCGGCACATGCAAAGGCAACTCAATTGTTTACCTGCAAATTATCCTCCTTGATGTGGGAGGAATGCTACAAGTGTTGTATATCTTAGACTTTGACCATATGTTGATATGAATAAAGAGTCTGTTACAAATAATTTCTGTCAACACTTGAAATAAAAATGAAGTCATATCAAGTCTTCCAGGTTTCAAAGAATATACAATATAACCGACCGACATACATTTTTATTCAACAAATAAGCCGACCCATAAAACATTATAAGCAACAATACACTAAAACAATATAAACAATGTTGAAAGAATTTTCTGTGGCAAGCGGAATATTGTTTATATAACGTGCTGTTGATCTTCAAAATACGTGTGGTTATAGTGTTGACAGTATTCTCATAATCCATTCTCGTAAGGCATGGCACTCTGTCGCCCAAGCTCAATATTGGAAATTGTTACATCTTAACTTTAAAATAGACAACTTTGTACACTGAATGTCAAAACTTCAGATACGCCGAAGGATGAGAAGATATTTTCTGACAGTCGTTGTAGGAATAGTGAAAGATCACCATCAGGAATATCAAACTGTCAAGTATCTTAACGATGCTTTCATAAGATAGGTATACATATTATTTTAAATAATAGTATCTTATTGATGTGTTAGCATGAGCTGGGGGAAACTGAATGTTTTATTCGATGACGATTTGAGGCTGAATATAGAATATAACTTCGATGCTTATTCCATTTTTCGTACCTGCTCAGTATGCCGCGTCTTCGCAACACAATCACTGTAGTTATAAAAGCAGTCACTTTTAATCCAGTAGTTTCACAACAATGTTCAGATTTCAACATATTCGTGCTCCAGTCACATCCCGATCGAGTGCCGATATTACAGTTGAAATACTATTATCCCAAGTTACCATTCTTCTTGGAACACATGCTGAGCAAGAGCATATAGATGTGGCTAACAAGTTGCTATTTACTCCCTCTCGTGTAAAACCTCTCAAAAGAACACCATTGTTTACTCTGTAGCTGCAGTACAATATGCCCTTGGTCGTGGAGAAGCATTTCGGAACAGCATCTGTTCCTTAACGAGAAAGTATTTAGCCTATAATTGAGCTATTCCGGTATAAACCCAATTTGTGACTAACTTGTAACATTATCATTGTCTCAAGAGGCCTGCTTTCTTCTGTCAAAAACAAATGTGAATAATTTGCAAAACGTGTCAGTGAGGGAAATGCATCTGTGATTATTAAGTAAATCGTTTTAAAAAATACTAATTGCTTTGGCGGCAAACATTACAAAGACAATACAATATTGGTTGTGATAGTCGTGCTACTGATGTGTATTGATGGACAGTCCCTTTTCGCGAACACCTGCTGCCGTCACAAATCTTCAGTGATCCATTCACATAAATGTCATCACTGTGTGGCCTTTTATGCCCAAAAGTATCTGTTTCGGAACGTTATCGGGACTCATTATTTTCTGTTATTGTCGTTTTGAATTTAGAATATGAAGGATTGAAAAACCAGGGCTTACATAAGATCTAAATTACAGTTTTCAAAATAGCAGACACATGTCGACAGTACCATGCAAATGTAAACGTCGACGCAAGGGAATAGTCAGTCTTTACTATCTTCCAAACAGCTTCCACTGGGCGTAACAGGTAAATACGTAATGGGAATATGAATGAATCACGGAAATCCGGTAAAGACACCGGGTGTTCGTGAAAGAGGTAGACATGACCTGTTCTATATGCACCATTTATCAGGTCATCCTCTGTATATATATATATATATATATATATATATATATATATATATATATATATATATTGGTAAGCAAAACATTTAAAGAAGCAGAAGAGCAATTGGTCTTGAAATAATTGATGCTATCATATAACTTTTTTGTTTTGTTTGTTGTTTAACGCCGCACTCAGCAATATTCAAGCTGTATGACGGCGGTCTGTAAATAATCGAGTGTGGACCAGACAATCCAGTGATTGACATCATGAGCATCGATCCACGCAATTGGGATGGATGACATGCATCAACCAAGTCAGCGAGCCTGACCACCCGATCCCGTTAGTCGCCTTTTACGACAAGCATAGTCGCCTTTTACGGCAAGCATTGGTTGCTGAAGACCTATTCTACCCCGGATCTTCACGGGTCTCGTTCGAATAACTACGAAATACACCATCAGATAAGAATTTTCAAAAAGTGAATACATGATATAAGTTTACAACTTCAACGACGTTAGTAATGTAAACCTTGTGTGATATTTTCAGGTCTAACTTTACAGAAGTTGCGATGCCCGCAGTTTATAATCTACAACACCTGAAGAAATACCTATGTTACGGTCGGCAAGTGTCAAACACCTTCCGTTATAACACTTCGCTGGATAATTTATCTGAAACGCACGTACAATTTCTGATGTCGCCTGGACAGGTAGCAAAGACGGGTCTGTCAGACATGTCAAAACGAATTGGTTACATTGGATCTTTTGGGGACAAAGTGCCAGAACAATGGTACATAAAGAAGATAACGAAAAATATTTTGTGACCTAAGGGAGACTAACGATTACCATAATGCTGTGGCAAACATTTTGGTCTGTGCATCATTCTCTTTCCAGAAACCCCACATAGCATAACATACTGTCTGAACATTAGCCTGTATCCCATTTCATCTTTAAGGAAAAGGTAACGTAAGGCAAGTATTTGAGACAGGTGAAATCATTTGCTTGACTTTTTGCAATCTCAGAAAAGAACCAGTTTCATTTTTTTTCAAAACATTTCATTTTTTAACTTTGAACACCACTATCCAACATGACAAACTTAAAGAACAACTTCATTCCTGAATCCATTGGGTGTTGGTTACAAAACGTGTTGACCATAAATATAGTGAGTGAGGGAGTGAGTTGGGTTTAACGCCGCTTTTAACAGTATTCCAGTTATACCACGGCGTGTCAGCTTGATGTGGAAGGAAAGCCCGAAGTGATGCAGGTCTCAGACAATTACCACTTCGGTGAAACCAACGAGCACGGGTACGGTGCTGACAAACCTAGAAACATAATCGGGGTGAACCGGGATTCGAACCCAGAACCATAGGTTTCTGGCGTGCCCAAGAGACACATAAATATAGATGTGTATCTTCGGTAGTTCAGGTAATTTTGTCACACATGAAAGCAAATGGCATAAGAAATTCACTGAGAAACCAATATATGAAATGCTGGATTTTCTTTTTGATAACATTCATGTGAAATTAGGGGTAAGACATTTAGCGAAGAAGTTGCCATCCTCCATCAATTACGCTCACCTTCTTGCTGATCTGTCTCTTTTTGCATATCAGTATGCCCGAATTGGCAAATTCAAAAGAAGGTAATTTGACCAATAAGTTTAACTTGAGCTTCAGGTATATCGATGATCTGATATCGTCAAATAACTATAAAATAAATGTTCCACTTATTTACCCGCCTGAACTAGAAATAAAGGAGGCCGGTGAGACGGCTTCAAATGTTTCATATTTAGATCTCTATATATAATCATTTAGAATGACAAAATATATCCACAAGACTATATGACAAGAGAGTTGACTTCAATTTTCCAATAGTCAACTTTCCCTCTATGTTGAGCAATATTCCTGCAGCTCCCGCCGAATTACACGTTCGGGGTTTTCCAAATATGTTGTTTTTATTGAGATATTCAATGCAAAATTGATATCATCAGAAAACTGTTACATGTCCCCAATGACTACCTACTATACGTTTGGAACAGTAAATCAAACCTTTACACTTGATTATGCATTTACAACAATGGGAACGCTAACTCCACCCAGGACATCTCAACAGATTCATGGTCCTTCATAATTTAACTTAACTTAAATTGCTTTTTTACAAAACCTGTAAACAAAAGCAACAAATCCTTTTCATAATGATTATAAATGTCCATTGTACCTTTCCGAATAAACATTAATCATATGTTAATGAGTGAGTGAGTGAGAGAGTTTGGTTTTACGACGCTTTTAGCAATATTCCAGCAATATCACGGCGGGGGACACCAGAAATGGGCTTCACAGATTGTACCCATGTCGGGATTCGAACCCGGGTCTTCGGCGTGACGAGCGAACGCTTTAACCACTAGGCTACCCGACAGCCCCCATATGTTAATGAATTACTATCGGATACAGAAGATGCCAGGTGTTCGCGTAAGGGTAAGGCTAGCCTATCACACTGGTGGCACCTCACACATGCAACATGAAACACATGCAAAGGCAAGTCAAGTGTTAACCTGAACAAACACGAGAACAAATAGTACGCATTAAGATATGTACTCTTTTATAATCTTATTATTTAATAATTCATCCCCTGCCAGATTTGATTAGAGTTTTCCATGTTCTTTTTAAGTGAGCAAACATATAACCCATTGTGACTTCCTGGAAAGGTGAAAAACATGTATTCAATATAGTATGTTTTCATTGAATGTTGACTTATTGTAGGCAGGATTTTCTACAGCTTCATTCGGCAAGTCGCTTTGATTGTCAGATGTATGGGTCTGGTGCGACTGTTTCACTCGGTGGCGGTAGCAGCAACCAACGGCTGTCAAACTGACGACTACAATCACAATAAAGGATACAACTGCTGCAACAATTCTAGTATATGACATTGTTGACCTTGAGGGTGTTGAGGTTGAGGGTGTTGAGGTACTGGCCGTGCTTTTTGTGGGGAAAGTTGTAGGAACATTGATATCTGCAAACAACAGTTTAAAGTAATAAGCTGTGAAGAGGTGATACGAAATATCCAGGCATGTTCAACTATATTCAGATCGACAGGTATATACCGTTATTGATGGTATCAACATCAACAGTAAACGATTTGTTTCACTGTAAGATAAGGTTCACGCATGTCATCGTGATATATAAAAAACTATGCTGTTTCTTTTCAGATACAATGACTTTCAGTATTGTTATCATTTGTTATAGAACAATTTGTTAATAGAAATGTGTAGATACTATTAGGTATAGAAAATTAGATCACTTTTTACATTGTGCATTATGCAAGTCATGTGCAGCAGGTCAGGTATTTCATTTACATGTACATTTTACACACACATTATAATCCACATCTCAGACCCCTCACGTCACACCACACACCACAAACGCCCCGTGAAGATCCGGGGTAGCATAGGTCTTCAGCAACCCATGCTTGCTGCAAAAGGCGACTATGCTTGTCGTAAAAGTCGACTAATGGGATCGGGTGGTCCGGCTCGCTGACTTGGTTAATGCATGTCATCGATACCAATTGATTTACATACCGCCGTCATATAGCTGGAATATTGTTGAGTGGGGCGTTATACAACAAACAAACAAACAAATATTTTGCACATGATTTCTTCAATGTCGCTGTTAGCTTTAGGTAACGACACGTTTTCAGGGACATTATTTTATCAGCAAGGTTAATTACAGGAAGGTAAAAGGAGTTCTGTCATTGCTAAGCGGTGTATATTTAACAATCAGTTAGCTAATATATGGAGTGTGGTGTTAAACAACAAACAAAACCAACCAACACTACAAACAAATCACACACGATGTACAAACCATACAAAACATGCCAGATGTCATGCGCCCTATTGCATACCATTAATCGGTAGTTAAATGCCATATGCGTCAGACATATCATTCATAAATAAACCAGGTAACTGAAGATGTAAAATAGCATTCTTATAAATGATATACATGCACATTTTGATTATTAACACATTTGCTTAAAACCGCTGGTAAAGGACAGGCACACATGCAATCGTCAAACGTAACGTGTAACCCTTTCTATCACAGTGTGGGGCGGAAAACCTTGTTAGAAAACCTATTCAAACTCACCTTTGATAGATTGAAGTCCCTGACAGGTTAAGACTTGTTGTTGGTCGTTACAGAAAAAGATGAGTCGCACGTCTCCGAAGTATGAATCTGTGAGGTTCAAGGTGGTGTTAACTGACATATTCGTTAGTCTAGTACCTATTTGAGATGTAGACAAGGCGTGACTGACATCCCCGACCTGCAGTGTGATGTTGTATGATGCAGAACAGAAGTAATCCTGTATGTCAACAGTAAGGTCTAGTTCCTCGTGCAGTTTTACAGCGTTGGAAGTTTTGCCACTTGTGATGATGCATCGTGGGAGAACTAAAACGAAGGCAATACATGTACACACTGTCTTATGATCAAATTGTTCATAAAGACAACAACATTGCAAAGCAACTCTAACGAAATAAACAAAACTAAAAATTGGAAAAGAACAAGTTAGTTCATTCGTCACTTTCGAATTAATTAAGGTGTATATTTAAGTAAAGTTGATATTGTTGAGTAAGTGTTCACGACATATTGTACAACACCACTTCATTGGTATCGCTTCTATTACTGAAACTATAAATTGAGTACTTAAATTCGCAATTTAAAAAAAAGGATAAATTCAAAGATGATATAATGTGTGAACTTACCATTTATGAATTTGATACCATCACAGGAAAAGATCTGCTGTTCGTTGTAACAAAGAAACAACAGTTGAACACCTCCTAAAGATGAAGCTGTGACGTTTAACGTTGTGGTAACTGTTTTGTTTGTAGGTTTGTTCACCGATTCGGATACTTGCAGTTGCACATTGATCTCCCCAACCAACAGCGTGAAGCTGTATTGTGCAGAGCAGTAATACTCATGAATGTCCACAGTAAGTGCTAGGTCCTCACTCAGTGCCAGCGTGTCTGTTATCTTGTCACTTCTGATGTTGCATCGTGGAACATCTTAAAAAATAATACAAATTCAAATACATTGGATTTAGTTAGACTAAATGTAAATCAATGTCTATAAATTTTGAAGTGATTGCAGTGTCCATGAATATGAACAATTAAACAAGTCTGCTCCGTCACTCAGATGCCATAGCCGACCGCCTCCTAGGTCTAGTGGTAGAGCGTCCTCGCGGAGAGCGGAAGGTCCGGGGTTCGATCCCCGGCCGCGTCATTCCAAAAGACGTTTTAAGATGGTACTTGTTGTTACCTTGTCTGGCGCTCGGCATTAAGGGGCTAAAACAAGGACTGGTCGGCTCGGGGTCAGTATACTGTGTCTGAGTGGGGTATTCATGTTAAACTGCGGCATGGTATCTCAGTGAGCTAGCACTATAAATCGGCATCAGTCCGGACTAATACAAGCAGCCACACAAACACACACGCGTACATGCACGTCGCTACATACGTGCAATAAGCTACGACGCGACGTTAAACCCGATTTCATCTCACCTCAGCAGTCGCCAAAGTCCCAAAAATTGTCAGGTCCGAGTGTCGGTTTTACTGCGTCTGAATAGGATTTAACTGCCACGTGGTATCTCAGTAGGCTAGCATTATGAAACCGACTTTCGTCCCGACCAGTACAAACACACACACACACACACACACACACACACACACTCGCACGCACACACACTCGCACACGCACACACACACACACACACACACACACACACACACACACACACACACACGTACACGCTCACGTGTATGCACGTCGAGATGTAAGTTAAATAATTTGGGAGTCAACGTTATACCCTATCACAGCTCACAGCCAGTTTAGCGTCCCTTGGACACGCCAGAAACCTATGATTGTGGGTTCGAATCCCGGTTCGCCCCGATTATGTTTCTAGGTTTGTCAGCACCATACCCGTGCTCGTTGGTTTCACCGAAGTGGTAAACGTCCGAGACCTGCATCACTTCGGGCTTTCCTCCCACATTAAGCTGACACGCCGCGATATAACTGGAATACTGTTAAAAGCGGCGTTAAACCGAACTCACTCACTCACTCACTCACTCACTCACTCACTCACTCACAGCCAGTTGGACAAGGCTCTGAGTGAACCTAAGGATTCAATTATCAGTGCAACTGATATTTCATAACATGTATAATGTTCACGTAATCCACTTGGATTATGAATTGCAGAAACACATATGAAACTCTTGAGACACTAAACGCTTTGGTAAGGCAATTAATTTAAGGTTTCACACGTTTTCACTAAAACGACAAATGTTTAGTTGCGTCAACGGAAACACACTATGACACTGTGTCACGATGCTGAACTAACGGCTACGCCGCCTACGCTGGAGTGACTGGCCACCCACAGGCATAAAATTCTATCTGTTCCGACAACTTCCCCCCCTGGCCCCGAGCAGTATTGGATAACCAGGAGTCTACTGTACTTTGCTTTTAGTAACAGGATACAATTAATAACGTACTTAGAGAGACCGGGTAGAGAACAGATATTCAGTAACCCATGATTGCCGTAACAGGCGACTATGCAATGGCATCGGGAGGTCAGGCTCGCTGAGTTGGTTGAAGCATGTCATCGTATCCCAATTGCGTAGATCGATGCTCATGATGTCAATCATTGGATTGTCTGGTCCATATTTGATTATTTACAGAACGTATCATAAAGCTGAAATATTGCTGAGTTAAACAACCAGCAAACACGCTTTCATTGATATAGCGATTATTTAAGAAAAAGCGTTAAACATTTCTATATCTCTCTAAGTACTTTATTAATTATTTCTAATACTAGAAATAGAGTATATCAGAAAGATGAATAATGTATATTGAGAAGGATACATCAACATTTTTTTCGAATCTTATATCCAACCATGAGGTAAGTGATCTTTTGGATGAAAAATATCATTTTGACTTTTCATAATATACTCAACAACAAAGGTTCCTGTGACACCAATATTTTAGTGTATTTTTCAAACAAGTAAAGTTTGGTTTTCAATATTGTAGTACATGTATGGAATCAAGTCACAAAAACGCAACTGCTACAGAAAAGCATGCATTCCTTGCAAACGTTTACTTTAATGCAAACCCAATGCATTTAACTACAAAAGAATGGGTATAAAAACACGTGCGTTAACGGGATTCCATATGCATTGTTTAGCATCGTTCTGACAAACAACCACTCAGAAAAACAACAAAATTACGCAACTATTCAACATTACGTAATGCCACGCCTGTCCGAAAATGAGCGTATGCGAGTCATCGGTATGCTTGAAGCAGGATCGATTCAACGTGATGTTGCAAGACAATTTAACGTCCACAGAAACACCATTTGGTGTTTATGGCAACGTTGGCAACATACTTATGCAGTCAGAGACCATCCTTGGAGTGGCAGGCCACGCGTAACCAATAATCGACAAGACAACTGGATTCGAACAACACAACTACATAATCGATTCCAGCCAGCAACAGTGACTGCAAGAAGCATCCCTGGCCTTCGACGAGTATCTTCACAAACCGTACGTCATCGCCTCATATGTGCAGGGATTGTCGCCAGAAGACCCGCCAGACGTCCCATTTAGACAGGAAACCACCGTCAAGCACGTCCACAGTGGTGCAGACAGCGTCTACGCTGGACGGCCATGCAGTGGGGACAAGTTCTATTCACTGATGAGTCTCGTTTTGACCTCAGCCACAGCGATGGACGTATTCGAGTGTACCGACGTCGAGGTGAACGTTACGTCAATCATTGTGTCATGGAAGAAGATCGGTTCGGGGGCGGCAGCGTTATGGTATGGGGTGGGATTACAGCAAGACGGAGGACCCGTGTGATAGTGGTAGAGGGAAATCTCAATCGACAGTGCTACCTCGACGAGATCATCGACCCTGTTGTTCTACCGTTTTCCGTCGTCATGGCCCAGGCTTTACCTTTCAACATGACAACGCCCGGCCTCATATTGCTCGACTTGTTCAGGATTCACGTCAACAAAACAACGTGAATGTCATCCCCTGGCCGGCTCGCTCCCCTGATCTCACACCAATCGAGCACATGTGGGATGAGATGGATCGGCGCCTTAGACGTCAACCACGTGTTCCACAGACACTCCAGGAACTTCCAAACATGCTCCAGCAGATATGGCAAGATATCCCAAAGGACTTTGTGCGACGCCTGGTCCATTCCATGAGACGAAGATGTGTTGCTTGCATCGCAACCAGAGGTGGACACACACGCTATTGATTTGTGAATTGATATTTTGGCATGTTCATGTTTCGTTTTTTTTATGAAATTACGCATTTTCTGAAGTCAGTATGGCAAATTGAACCATTTGAACACTAACATGAGTCTTTTATCCGTTGCAAACCGAAATTGTTTCAGATTTGGTAAAAAACATAACTTCACATTAAATCTTATTCAATGTCATAGGAACTTTTGTTGTTCAGTATATTTTAGACCTTCAATATCTCCGGAAGATAAAAAAATACCATTCGCAAGCTTCAATTCATATTTTATTACAGAGCTGCATGACTTCAAACATTGGGACTCATTTTCCAACTTATAACTGTAATTAAATAATTGGAGGTTTAGACGTGATGTCTGATGAATTAAAAATAGACATGTTTCTGAAAGGTTTTGAAATATTTTTTAAATTTACATGACGATCTAACGAGGAAAACTAAGATGCTGTTTATGCATTCCGCACACATATAGGATATTTTTTAATGTGTCGATGAAATATCATGGGTCTCTCATCGAGAGAAGAGTAAAAAGAGATAATATTTTACGAGTGGCGCTTTGCGAAACGAACAGTCTCGATTGACAGTAAATTGAGAAATTTACAATTTTTTAGGGAAACATTTTCAAAGAATCACATACCCATATTACCTCCATAAATGACCATCTGTCATTATGTTGCCTTGTCAATGTGGAACTAACGTAAACAGGAAGTCAACAGTAAGGGAGAAGAGGCAAGACACTTACGAAAAAGGGACACAGTTTGCGGGAAGGTAACTCTTGTATGACAATAGTTCCGTCAAAATGTTATGTTCACTGCCGTGAAATATGAAGCGTTATGTTCACAGCAGTTAAGTTTCAAGTTTATTACTTGCCCGTGAAGAGATCACCTGTTTAATAAGCATAGAGCTGTACAGCATACACAGTGTGTAATACCAAAGCGCGTGCTATTGCACTGCGGGAACAAGTTACACTAACAAACATTAAAAGGTCTCAACATCACTTGGTTTAGTCAACGACATTGAGGGAGGAGATGATAGATAACTGAGAGAAGCTTATGCGCACTCAATGACTCCAGCAACCCCGTTGCTAGGCTGACATCACATGGCATTGTTTCGCCGCTGGATCTTGCAACAAAATTCCACAAATCACGTTGAAGCGCAACGACAGTTGTTTCTGTTAAAGTATGTGAATTACGATAACCTTAGCCCTACGACAATTTTGTGGAACTGACGATATAATTCTAAAGGTGGGCTGTCGTATGGTATTGAATTCATATGTGTCAGCGTTTGACGTGTTTGAAGTACTATTTTGTTAAACTCAAGTGATTTACGTTGTGGGTCGTGTAGCTGTCTGCCTATTCATACACGACAGTGAAATTCTAAAAAAAGTACCAAATAAAATACTAAACTCGCTCCCGTGTCATACCAATTTTATGAATCTCGTGAATAGTTCTGGTATCTTTCGCCAGTCAAATACCAGAACTATTCCCTCGTTTAAAAAATTGGTATTACAAGGAAGCGAGTTTAGAATTCTATATTTTTGTTCACTGCAGTAAAATATAATGTGTTATATTCACTGCAACGAAATATCAAGTGTTATGTTCACTGCAGTGAAAAAATCACTTTTCTCAACTTTAGAAAACCCAGCCTTTCACACTGAAGTATATGATAAATGGCGATCTTCACTGAAGTAATTTGACGTCACAGCACAATTGTATCCCAATCCATTTTTTTCCAGGTTTGTCACATATTTTTTCAATTATTATCGACACAAAATATATGTGTCTTGAGCGTGGATTTCTACTTAACCCTTTAATAGACTACTCATATACATCTGATAGACTTTTGAGTAATTTTAAGTTCAACTCACTTGTAATAGAAAGATCACAGGATTCTTTAGAATTGCTTCCTGCATCAGCACATGTCCACGACCCTGCATGTGTTCGTTGTACACTGAGTATCTTAAAGTCAGTGTGAGTGTTGTTGGTTTTGCTTGCATAATATCCAGCCACAGGTGCACAGCGTGATAAGGAACCACTACATTGCGGGAACACACCTCCGATTGGCCTCGAATATTGAAGAGTGGTGAAGGGAACAGACGTAGTGCAGGTAATGTGTGCGGAATCACCAAGGTAGGCAATGCCAGGGCAGTTGATTGAAGTCGTACCTGTGGTAAATAAATTGAAAACATTAATGATCCTAATCCTCAACGTATTTCGATGGCATATATAAAAAATATTTATGGCTGTGGCAAATTATCATCGCATTCACTTTTATCTGTATACGTATTGCAGTGTGCATTCTGAGATGTCATTCGAGGTCATTCTCGGTATATCCCGTTGGTTTCTTTGATGTTTATAATCGGATGAGGTACATAAGCTTTCTGACGGATCTGTGATACTCATAAGCCACCAAATGAGCGACCTCTCTATTGTTTGATGGCCTAATATATTTTATGTGGTGCATATATCATCTGACATGCATATTATCTTTCGTAATACAAAACGTACCTTGTGCGGAATGCGCTGTGCCGATCAAAAGCAGAACGTAGGTCGATAGCGATCTGATGGTTGACTGTTTCATCTGCGGATATATGTAACGAAAATCAAAACAAATGAACATAAAGGTCTAAAAGTTATACACATGTATTCCCTACATACACCTGCATTATGAAATTAGACATGTAGAACGAAATAAGTATCATTGCTTGAGAGTGACCTGTTCACACGAGAGTAGCAATGCAGTGAAGCACATCTAAAATGAAATACAAGATTGATCCATTAAATTCCATAATATTCTGTACTCAAAGTGTACTCTTTAGTATTGCCAGTACTCCTATATTGAAATAATAAGGAGTTCTTTCTCCTGATGCTGAACAAATTATCTGGAGCCCTGTGCAAGGTTAATGTATCAGTTAGTTTCATATGTATTGACTCCATATATAATATATTTCTCCGAATTGGATATTTAGAAAGGACATTGTATTTGTGTGTTTCCTTGTTTGTTATTTAAAGCCACAATTTAACGTTGTTATAGATTGTTGAAAAACGACGAGTGTGGGTGACTGACAGTCCGGACTTATACTTTCTTTTGTACTGTTAGAACAATTTGGGTGTGATGTCACAGTACACCCCTCTCAGACAATTTGTACTGATTCCCAGCCAACAGGCCTTGTTTAATGCTTGTACTGATGATAACAAGACTGGTTACAAAAAGAAACGTATTTTAGTATTACCCGTGCAGGAGATCGAACTACCGACCTTCCGCTCTCATGGCAGACGCTCCATCAACAACGACACGGTAATGGTTCAGTAACAGACCCTAGCACACTTTCCATTATAACAGAGGAATGTCTCAAATCAGTAGAGCAACGCTTGATATGAAAATGTGTAGGTGCATGTGCATATCCATTCACAAATGTTTAATGAGTCGTATAGCTAATTACTTGTTATAAAGATATATACTCTAGGTAAAATAATGAACATGTTAACTGTTTGACTGGTATTTTAGAATGTGATATGTTCTAGCCAATATGCTTTTGATTCCATCGAAAATTGAAATAACATTTCCATTTGATAGATTTCATATATGGGAATTATACTTACGTTGCACACTTGTTGAGAGCTTTTAACCTGACCAGGACACAAGCACTCGTTCCACGACAGCTCGTGTAACACCAATGCGTACTGTGACAAACCGTGCAGGTGTTACTTCCAGAATGTGAAATTCAATGTTGATGAATACATAATCATCCGTTGATTTGTACCTCACAATGTAATCAATTTATCTTCCCTTTGCTACAATAGTGGTATGAAATGTATCCTTGTTCGCTGCTAACTGCAAGCCGGTTGTGCTTGTATGTTATACATATTTATAGAGTAACATATTTTCCTTGTTTAGTAGCGTGTTGTGCTTGTAGACAAGGGCGGGCAAAGTGAGCTATTTTCACAAGGATTTGGGTGTATATAGACTGCTCAATCTGCAGGATATGTCTGCAGGGATTTTGTTTGCAATAAGAGTTCAGAAATAAAGAGGCAGAATAAATCCCTTATACCCCGCTTCAAAGCAAAAACCTGCACGTTATTTTCCGAATCAATGGAAGTCACGTGACATAGCGCAAGCTAACATCAGCTCAATCGAACAGCTGTGTTTTTATCAATTTTGAATATGTTTGATTTCTTTTACAATGTCATTTAAAAACATGTCGGTAAGATAAATTCGTTGCAGCAGGATCACTCGCGGTCAAGGGGTATTATGCGTTTCACGTTAGATTTTATACCACGCACACGTCCCTCCTTAGGATTTATACCCGTCGCCTGTGTGAGAGAGAGAGAGCGAGAGAGAGAGAGAGAGAGAGAGAGAGAGATGAAGAGAGAGTGAGAGTGAGAGAGCGAGAAGGGAAGCTCCTCTAACCCTAGTCTATGCGACGTCACGTTTGTTTGGAGTCTGCCTGTCCTGTCATTACGGAGTGTAGTCAGACGTACACACAGCGGCAAAACGAAACAAGGTATTTCGGACATATTTTAATTTGGGGAAATGGTTCCATGTCGCATAAGTCTACAACGACATATTCGGAAACTGACCCTGTTAAGCTAGTATCCTGGCTGAATTGTTTCGCAATTAATATCTCCAAAGTTACCTTACCTTGTATAATGCCTTAGCTACGTCCAGTCCATTATACTATGTTTTTATGATAATGATTCCAGCAGTTTTTCAAGATTCCTGATGGTTAAGTCTGATTCAATCGCGGAATGACACTGAAAGTAGTTCCTACATTTGAATCGCTATCTCTATCTCTATCCGCATATGACCCCAACCGATATCGCTTTTATCCATTTGCTTTATCCTGCCGGGACCTACCCATCATATGATGCAAAGCAGTTAAACCCCCAACTCGGCGTCAACAGTATTTTCCAAAGTATTTTGAAGTTGCACTTCACGAAGTGAGTGAGTGAGTTAAAATTTAACGTCGCATCGGCATTATTGCAGCCATATAGCGACGAGACCAAGTAAATATATTTACAATTTAGTCATTAATGCAAAGGTTTGTTTAAAAACAAGTTGTAAAACATATTTGAGCATACTCTATTTAGAAACAATTCATGAAACATATTTGAGCATAACAATATTATATATAGTTTTAAAACACGGGCTATAGGCCACCAGTAACCAAAGCTAAGCCACCTCGCTGGGGATCATGGGGACTTACCCCAGCATGATAACCCAGCAGGATTTACGTCATCACTTTAGTCACTGGTGGTTGTGCACAATGCTAGCCGATATTAAAAAAATACTCATCAATGAGTTGGCTTAAAAACACTGGTTGATGATAGTTACATAGATTATGATAGGATTACGTGTCACACAGGGGGGCCAATAGTTTTACCGTACTTTAACCTCCTGGCCAGAGCCTTCGATAAGGGATTGCCTAAAAGTCGGGCCAAGAAAAGTCGGGCCGGGCCGGGCCAGCGGGTAATACTAAAAATGGATTGCAGAATAATAAAACGAAACGCGCATATCTAGGCAGATCTCAAATGTCCACAAACGTATAGTTTTGCTCATTTAATTGAGTTTGAATAAAAATGCACCTTCAACAATGTAATTAACTGATGATTATGACTACATACCGTGAGTCTCGTAGAAAAGTCAGCGTCTTGACTGTGTATTCTTTGATTAGAATGCTTCTCACCGACCTTAGCGTGTAGGGGTGTGATGTCCTGGGCAGGAAACGACAGTGTTTTGACTACTCTTCTTTCATTAATTAACGTGTTTAGGTAATTAACCTTTACTAATTCGTGTTAAACCAACACAGGATGTTTTCTGGAAATGGATATTCTCGAATGTCAAAAGACTGACACGACACGTGTTAATAACTGTCCAAGCACTTCTAAAGTTCCTAACATTATTTATATCTAAACACTAGTATTTTATCTAATTATTTACCACTTTATTGTCTCATATTTCAGTAGTTAAAGAAAACACAGAACTCAAAGTGAAGCCCTTTTCCCTCTACATTCTCAACATAGTCTCTATCAGAAGTGTTTGGCTTGTGTTGGGTCCGACTTGGCCCGGGCGGTCAAAATCAACTTTAAACACACAGATGTAACTTCAAATGTGATTAAATCTATAGATTAGTGTTATATCTACCTATACACCAATTTATAATGTCCAGGTGTATCGCATTTAAAGAAATCTGCGCCCTTAAAGTGAAGCATTTTTACTGTATTTTCTTTAAAAAATCCAAGTCAGAAATGTTCGGTCCGACCTGGCCCGGGCTGTTAAAATCAACTTAAACCTCACAGATGTATCATCAAATGGATTCACATCTATAGATTAGTATTATATCTACTTATACACCACTTTATAATGTCACAGATTGCAGTCTTTATAGAAAACAAGGGGCTCAAAGTGAAGCCCTTTTCCCTCTACATTCTCAACACAGTCTCTATCAGAAGTGTTTGGCTTGTGTTGGGTCCGACTTGGCCCGGGCGGTCAAAATCAACTTTAAACACACAGATGTATCTTCAAATGTGACTAAATCTATAGATTAGTGTTATATCTACCTATACACCAATTTATAATGTCACAGATCGCAGTATTTATAGAAGACATGGGGCTTAAAGTGAAGCCCTTTTCCCTCTACATTCTCAACATAGTCTCTATCAGAAGTGTTTGGCTTGTGTTGGGTCCGACTTGGCCCGGGCGGTCAAAATCAACTTTAAACACACAGATGTAACTTCAAATGTGATTAAATCTATAGATTAGTGTTATATCTACCTATACACCAATTTATAATGTCCAGATGTATCGCATTTAAAGAAATCTGCGCCCTTAAAGTGAAGCATTTTTACTGTATTTTCTTTAAAAATTCCAAGTCAGAAATGTTCGGTCCGACCTGGCCCGGGCTATTAAAATCAACTTAAACCTCACAGATGTATCATCAAGTGGATTCACATCTATAGATTAGTATTATATCTACCTATACACCACTTTATAATGTCACAGATTGCAGTATTTATAGACAACAAGGGGCTCGAAAGTGAAGCCCTTTTCCCTCTACATTCTCAACATAGTCTCTATCAGAAGTGTTTGGCTTGTGTTGGGTCCGACTTGGCCCGGGCGGTCAAAATCAACTTTAAACACACAGATGTAACTTCAAATGTGATTAAATCTATAGATTAGTGTTATATCTACCTATACACCAATTTATAATGTCACAGATCGCAGTATTTATAGAAGACATGGGGCTTAAAGTGAAGCCCTTTTCCCTCTACATTCTCAACATAGTCTCTATCAGAAGTGTTTGGCTTGTGTTGGGTCCGACTTGGCCCGGGCGGTCAAAATCAACTTTAAACACACAGATGTATCTTCAAATGTGATTAAATCTATAGATTAGTGTTATATCTACCTATACACCAATTTATAATGTCCAGGTGTATCGCATTTAAAGAAATCTGCGCCCTTATAGTGAAGCATTTTTACTGTATTTTCTTTAAAAAATCCAAGTCAGAAATGTTCGGTCCGACCTGGCCCGGGCTGTTAAAATCAACTTAAACCTCACAGATGTATCATCAAATGGATTCACATCTATAGATTAGTATTATATCTACCTATACACCACTTTATAATGTCACAGATTGCAGTATTTATAGACAACAAGGGGCTCGAAAGTGAAGCCCTTTTCCCTCTACATTCTCAACATAGTCTCTATCAGAAGTGTTTGGCTTGTATTGGGTCCGACTTGGCCCGGGCGGTCAAAATCAACTTTAAACACACAGATGTATCTTCAAATGTCGCCTAGTTGTTAAAGCGTTCGCTCGTCACGCCGAAGACCCGGGTTCGATTCCCAACATGGGTACAATGTGTGAAGCCCATTTCTGGTGTCCCCCGCCGTGATATTGCTGGAATATTGCTGAAAGCGGCGTAAAACCGTACTCACTCACTCACTAACTTATTCTAATACTGCTAATGTTTGTCAGTGGCCAGTGATAGTATGTTTTATGGAATAGTATCTTTCATACCAATATGGTGATATGTTATAACTTTATTTCGTACTTGCGAGGGACACGACACTATCATAGCTTACAAAAGTATTCTGGAAGCATTTTAGGACAAACATGTTAACGTAAGTTCAAAAGAAAATAAATGGGTTTTGTTAATTAGCCTCACCAAATGCATAAGTTATCAATGAAACGGTCTGCTATTAACTACAGCTCAAGACAGCTAATTAAGGGCAAATGGTTGATTGATTACGCAACACCTACTTGATTGCAATTAAGCAAGGGGCAATTAAGCAAGCTGGGTACAGGTGTAATTTGGATTAATTCCACACTTAACGTGCATATACGGACGCAATGAGAAGGATCGATGAGACACAAGACTTGAAGTAAGGCAAAAACGTTTCTCCAGTATAATCGAATAATCAAATTAGCGCATTGTGAGACGATGCTTGAACTGTGAAACCAAACATTAATGTTATCAACTCAAGTTCGGGTGCAGGAAGTGTTTTTCTTGCAAAAAAAGATGTACATGTGCATATAGGTACGAAAACCTGGTCCCTAAGTGGTACCTCAGATGTAAGTACAAATACTAACAGTTCACGATAATCTTCAACATTGAGATGTGTTCACATGTGTTAACCAGTAGTACGTTACGAATAATTCTCAATTGGAAATATTATGCGTATGTTTT